GTATTTTGTTTATTGTTGTTTGGATTATGATTCATGACATGATATAATGCAACTCTGTAATACGTATGTGCACTGGTTGTTTTGGTACTTATACAAACAATCACTGCACATGCGCATTAGTGGTTTTGACTTTTCGTGTAACGAATATTGTTGTATGCCATGCAAACGCAGCATTTTCAGTTTATGACAAATCATATTCTAATTTAATAACAATAAGGATTACCAAACAACAATATTGAAAAATATGTGTTCGTCTATATTGCATCTTTTTCTCAGCATTTCGAATTTTTGGAATTGTTTGCAATTTGTGTATGTAAATGACATAAAACTTGACTCCCTTTGAGAGTTAGTTCCTCTTACTCATATATATTTGCGTTTGTTTGAGTATTGTCAGATAGCTGTGTGGCATCGCTTCCAAGTTTCCGTCGTTGTGATGGTAAAAAGGACTGTAGAGATGGTAGAGATGAGTATTATGATGGCTGCCATGAAGACGGCAAGTATTCGATTAACCTTATTTTTTTTTTCTTTCAGTAAACAATGCGTTATTGATACATCGTTCATATACGTGGCGCCCTCTAGCGCTCATGCAATGTAATGCTGTATGGGACGTCGACGTCAATACAAACTACTATATTCTAAATGGCGAACGACTGTACAACTACACCACAGTCTGCTGTCGTACAAGTGATAATAAAATAGATGTGATCAATTTACCAATATTTAATATATAGACTACATTTCGGGAGTTACGAAACTGGTGTGCTCTGTCATGGCGGAAAATAAAAACAAACATGTCAGTTTGCTTATATTTGATAGAAGGGAATTTAATTTTTGTAACATCGATTGGTACACCCAGAAGTACAATATCACACGTGCACCCTAAAACGGTATGCGTGCACATGTGAAACGCCGTATCTTCGACTTCCTGAAAAGTTGTCTATGGGGGCCGCCACCTGGAATACGTCTTGGCTGGTTAGTGGCTGGTTCCCGCCTCAAGTACTAGTGTCATGACGCACCAAGCCAACTTGTTATTCGCAAGGAACGCAGGGAACCAGCGAACAATACGTCTTGATACTAAATAACTAAATATCTTTGTTTTGTTCTTATGCCGTATTCAAGATGGCGGCCCTATATAGTAAATATGAGTAAATTTATCGCATTTATTTTATTATCACGTGTACGCCAGCTGACTGTGAACAAATTATAGTTCTCTATTTGCACTGCATCTACTTCAGTTTGGCGTGTCAGAAGCGCTAATCGTCGCTAGAGGGCGCTTATTGGATAATCGAAAATAGCATACGTAAACTTTCTAGTACACACACACACTCTGTATTCTTTTTTCATTATCACTTTGACTTAAGCTCTCCATTTGTTGTGTTTGTTTACAGAAAAAACTGAAACTGCTGGAACGGTATTTGGGAATATGAGCGTTGCCGTCGCTATTATGTTTTTAGGCGGCGTAGTAGTCATACTACTCGGATTAGTTTTTTGCATATGCTGCTGTTGTCGTAGAGGGCGTGAGCGTCGACGCTATGACTCAAACACATTTGCTTCGAAGAAGATAGGAACTGTGAACGGATACCGTTTCGTTGCCCATGCATACCCGCTATCCATGAACTACGCCGAAGTAGATGGAAATGCCTTATATGATGTACAAGGGGGCGTTGTGCAACTTAACAACAAAGAGTAAATACACTTGACGTTGCGTCTCCTTAGCATATTTCTGAATCGATCTTTGTGGATAAAAATTACACTTGCTTGACATTTATCTACTGGATCACGTCTCCTGAATAGGGATCATCTTTCTTCCGAGTCTGTCTATACTGGTGTGGTAACCCTTCACCTATAATGCACCCATGTCAGTTGCTATCAGGAACAAGATGGGTGCCACTTGGATACAGTGGATCTTGAAGAAAGCAAACTTGAGTCATACAAATATTATGGGTTTTAAAAACTGTCATTTTAATTTCAACTTACTGGAAGTGGGAAAACAAATACAAACACTTCACATTTAGCTTATTTCACAGTAGTTGTTCATAGTTAGTGTCGACTTTACAGGCAGTTTAGGTTTTTATACAAGCCTGTATATAGACGTTGAACTCGAGATGTTCTGCTCTGTTGGAATACGCTTATATGTATGTATATGTCAACTTATATGCCGGCGTAACCTTCCTAGTGTGAACCATAGAACTCATGTAATTGCTACGTGATGATACATGTTGTAGATTAGTATGTGTCTTGGTATTCAATCGTAAACTTGTTGTTTAAATTGTCATTTATTAGATTTTTATTTAAACGTGCGCCTCTGGAATCTGTTGAGAAATCGCAGTGAATTACTTACACATACGATGATTGACTGTATTTAAATTTACAATGCAATGTATTTGGTAATGATAAAATAATTACATAATATTTATGTTGAAATCTCTTCTGTTGTGTATAATAAAGAAGTTGTACTATGCATACTAGGCTTGATGGTTTATGTTCGACACAAACTATTAGTGAAAATATATTCCACAAAGTTACGTCAGATAATGACGTAGGTAATTAGATTTAATAACAAGATATGGACATCGCATTGTTTATATTTTGGTGGCTGAAACTTAAATAGTGCTCTAACTCGTAACGTTTTCGTCTTAATATGATTTTAAACAAAGGATGATAACTAATGTAATATGTGCCAATTTATTCACTCATGTTATGTTACTTGAAGCACGTAGTAACTGAATACGTGACCAACCGCACAAGGATCGAAAATAATTCAAATTAAATATCGCATAACGCATCCTTTATCCTAGACTGTCAAAAGTCGATCGTACCTAACATTAATCTATTATTATTAATAATAATAAATATTGTGTATAAACGTAATAGGCGTGAATACATTGAGAATGCCGTTTGGGGCTGCAATATACAGATAAGGTTTCTTATTATACCCGGACACTTCCATATGCAAATGAAATAGTCGCGGAGATGTCTATCATTTTATCGTGGCCAATCGTTAAAAGGGTCAGGGGTCGCCCACAACTTACACGAAGTTTGTTTGGTTTTGACTAATAGTAGTTTTTTATATCACGATACAAACAAATCTTAACGAATGCATTAAAAAAGTGCTGGAACGTTTAGACTACCATGATATGTTTTGCAAAGAATGCCAGTGAGATACTATCGCAAACTACATAGAGGGGAAAATGTGTTCGTCAGCGTACCTACGGGAGCGGCACGTCATTGACATATGAAGTCCCACATTTTTGTCTAGATTTTCAACGTTTCGGAGAGTTTGGACTGCACCCCAAGTCGATCGTTTGCCATTGATTGCTCTGATAAAGAAACAAGTGAGTAATAACCTCACCGAAAAGGAACTGGCTGACAGTCTCGCATTTACCATCAAACGCCATCAAAATGTCTGGGATACACAATTACATTAGGCCCGAGAACTGTCTACCTATATCCATTTGAGTGTTTTGAACATAAGTAAATCAAATATCAATACGCGCTCGTTTACTTCTTTTGTAGAATTAGTAGAATATTGCAAATAATCAACTTTTATCTGTTATATGAGCATGAAGTCTGTAAATGATGTGCCCTAAAGTGAACCTATGGGTGACCAATCATCGCCATGTATTGACAAAATAATCAATATTTCATATAATGGTTTCTTTACCCTTTGAGTCTTTGGTCATTTCATCATGGTTTCTGCTCCCTCGGCGATGGACCCAGGTGATTGGTCTTGAAAATAAATTTAAATTATCTGTACCGATCTGACTATCAAGTACATCCTTTCTTTCCTAAGCACGGCATATTTCGTATCCCAGAATTCATTTTGGCTGAGCCCCGGAGCTTTGCGCCTCTTTTTTTCGAATAAGACGTTGTCAGTGGTTTCGAACATTTGAATTGAAAAACCGATCTTGTAGCAAATATATATTGGTAACAGTAATGTACGGTTGATATGACATTACGAGAAATAAGAACCAAACAATGTTGAAATGATCAACGAGTACAAACTGAGACGTTTCCAAGCTTTAATTAAGTAATTTTCATGTTACTGGAAGGCATCGAAGGAGTCATCGGCGGTAACCAGTGCAAGTCGCGCCCAGGTCAAACCTCATACTCATGATTTCCATTTGAAAGCGCATTGGATTGTGGGAAAATCAATGTTTATCAACACAAATGTGCCACATGCGCAGCGCGATGACTACCGCCCTTTAAATTAAATTTTCCGCCACTATTTTTGCAAAACTCTACCCCGAGTTGTAATAATCAATCACAGATAGAATTAATATTCGAACATCATCATCGTCATGCCTTCTACTGCCTGGCGAAATGATTTTTAACATTACATGTCAAAAGGGGCTTTGCGTTTACATTTATAAAACGCACAACACTCAAATGGGTAAATTGTTATAGGATCATTAAGCGCATTATTTTAAAACCTATTTCTAAGTTTAGTTTTCTTTCTCACCCTATATTAATGATGATTTCAATAATTGATCGCTGGTGGAGCTGTCCATAAGTAATACCAAGAACGAGTACAACACGTTTGTGTCTGAGTGCGTCGGCAAGGGCTTGGTAACCATGGCGACTGACTACGAGTGTGTTAGGCCATGCAATTTTCTGCTCATTTTCGATGTTTGTTTTGCATATTTCTAGAAAACACACTCAAAATATAACAATTATAACATAACACTTTCCATATATGGACATTGCGTTACGTCATTGCCCAGACCTACCATTTTGTAGGTCAATGGTAATTGTTATTACCCTATTGTGTTCCAATAAACTGCATGGCACTTTGATTAATCAGAAAACGCAATAAAGTCACATTAATTCAAATTATACAGTTTTTTTTATTATTATTGTTGTTATTAAACTACACCCAGCTTGCAAACAAATATAGGCCTGAGTACAACAAATAAAACATGAAAAAATCTATTTAGAATTTTCTCATACAAAAATGGATTTTTTTTTCTGTTTCGTGTTTGCATAAAGTTTACTCGCATATGCCCGGCGAAACAACTTTATTTCCCATTATTATTTTATTCATTTTTTCAATACATTTTTTTATGATTATTTCGCTTTTGCCAATGAATCGTGAAGATAATTGCCCTCCCATGTCCTCAACATACTTCTCAAATAGAGAACCCCCGTACAAATACGTAATTAACTTGTATACCAATTCTATAATTCTAAATGTATTTCACGGTACATCCTGCTACGAAATGTATCTTTCCTCTCGTAATTGCATAATTAGTATAGTATGATTCAAATTCCTGATTTTTAATATTTTAATAATAATAATAAGGGCGTTTGGTAAACCGTGGTATATAGATAGTGTGTAATGGAATTAATGTAGCAACAACTGTGATTCAGGCACTTGATTATTTCCATAGCCACCTCCGACATCAACCCCAACCTCGAGTTCACCGTTCACCTTTCACCCTTTCACTTGCATAAATTACCTCACGATCACGTGACAGTTCGTTGTTTTGTACGCCAAAGACAAGTTATCTTGGCTGCCTCAGTGCCTGTTTCCAACCATTCGGGTGTATTAACGATATTATCTAAGACGAATACGAGCATTGTTTGGTTTAGCACATACAAATGAGGTAATGTAACAGCTGTGAATATTCCTTATCCTTGGAATTTTGAATTTTACACAAGGAGCGAACAAGTAGAAAGTTTATATAATAGAAAGGAAATGCTGTGTCGGATGATTACTCATAACAGAATTTCAGTGTAATGTTTGTTGTTCTTGGTACTGAACTGTTTTATTTTTCTAGTGATGTCCTGTTTCAGTATATTATATATCCGTACGGCTGTTTATTATCCAGCATTGGGTCAGAATATCCCACATCTAAACAGATCGTACAATGCAAGCAATGTAATTTATGTGTAATGTGTGACGTCATTTATAATTTGGCGTGTTGTGTCAGTGATTAAATGAATGTGTTCATACCGGGA